TTCTATTCTTTTTATCCCTACTTCCTCCCACCCCTATAAGGCACTGCGCCGTGTCGCCTATAGGCAGACAGAAATTCGGCGCCTCTTTCCTCTTCCTTACAACCACTCACACAGGTATTCTTTCTTGTACAAAGTGATCGACGGAATACTGACGCATTCGTTCCCTTTCCTTTGTATGTGATATATGCCTCCAGTACTTCACGTGCTAACGTTTCCCTGCTTCGTCCTAACACACGTGTCTCTCGGAATAGTGGTGTGCAGCCGCACGAAGCACAATATAACGGCAGGTGTGAACCCACGTCAATGTTAATTTACAAGATATGATCCCTAAGACGATCATTAACACAGCTTCTTGTTTTGACTATGTACACCTTGCCACAGCTCAATGGAATTAAATAAATAACGCCCATTATGCAACGCAGAACTGGCCGGGCGTGCTTCTTTTTGCGTGAAAGGTTAGCTTTCTGCGAACAAATGTGAGCACAGAGCTTCGACAGCTTGTTGGGTGCCACTAGAACGTCATGCCTGCTTGCAACTTTCTTCAAATTGTGGGCAATTTTGTGCATGTAAAGCAGAACCGGTGATTTCTTTTTGCGGCGCACAGCCTCGGACTGTCTGCTGCATCTTTCAAGCTTCCGGAGCAGAGATTCGGACAGACTGGTTAAGAAACCGAAGGGAAACCGGCTGTAACCAGCCTTGAAATGTGTTTCTGAAAACTGTCGTCCATGATGTGCTTACACGACTTGAACAACGCAGACCGGAGACACATTGTCGCAATGGCTCTTTTTACGGTTTTCGAGTGTGCAGATTCGTAAGGCAGGAAGTCTTTGCGTGCACGGGGCTGTACATCCAGCACGAATGTGTAGCGTTTATTGACAGGTTGATGTCTGAAAACTGCAAATGATTGTCTTGAGGTAGCTCATTCGTAAACGTCAATCCTTTTCCTTGCATAACAAAAACTGATAAAACATTCTTCACATCGTAACAAGCTGTCAAAAAGTCAGGGCCGTTTAAAAATACAAGAACATCGTCAACGTATCGAAAAACTTCGGGACAAAGTTTCGAGTCAAGGTTTATAGCAAGTACCTGGTCAATAGATGAAAGAAAGATGTTGCATGGGACAGGAGCTACACATGAACCAATCGAAATGTCTTTCCGCTGCACATAAAATGAATCACTAAAAGAAATAAATGTGCTTTTCAAATAAAATTTATGCAGGGACAAGAAATTGTCAACTCATAAACCACCAGTGTTCATAAAGTCAGTGCTACCATTGGCATCAATGAATTCGCTAACACAGAGAAAAATTTCAACTTGCGGCGCAGAAAAAAAAATCCTCGACATCGATACTAAAGACGTACCGAAAAGCACTTCCATTACTCAAAAAATTAATCACCACGGCTGAATTTTTTGTGGCGAACGGGTCATCAAGGCAAACCTTATTTAGGTGCTAAAACAAAAAGCGCCTGACTAGAAGAGACCATGTGCCCCTTTCCCTAACAATAGACCTGAACGGCATTTCCGGCTTATGTTTTTTAACTGAGAAAAAAACTTTATTACCTTTGCACTCGCCAATAGCTTTTGCTAGTTTGCCCAAATTTAGTTCCTTGCACAAATAAACATCACAGCTTTTTACTTTGGTAGGCTTTGCTGATGAACCAACAAAGTTCTTCTCAATAGCGCAAGAGGCCTTCTCCCGGTATAAGTCTTTTGGTAAAACGACAATGCCTCCTTCCTTTTCTGACTGGAGAAAGAATAGTTTTCTTTGGAGAAGGAAACGATGTTTTCTGTCCAGATCGTCTGTCGAGCTGTATTTTAGGCTGTGCGGAAAAGAAACCACTGGTTCTGCCTTACATGCACGAAATTGCCCACAATTTGAAGAAAGTTGAAAACAGCCATGACGTTCTAGTGGTCTTCTCGACACCCAGCAAGCTGTCGAAGCTCTGTGTCCGCATTTGTTCGCAGAAAGTTAACCTTTCATGCGAAAAGAAGCGTGTCCGGCGAGTTCTGCGTTCCATAATGGGCGTTATTTATTCAATTTTGTTGAGCTCTGGCAAGATGTACATAGGCAAGACAAGAAGCTGTGTTAATGATCGTCTTAAAGATCAAATCTTATCAATTACCAATGGCGTGGGTTCACACCTGCCATTACATTGTGCTTCGTGTGGCTGCACACTACTATTTCGAGAGACATGTGTGTTAGGACGAAGCAGGAAAACGTTAGCATGTGAAGTACTGGAGGCATATACCACCTACATAGAAAGGAAAACGAATGCGTCAGTGTTCCGTCGATCACTTTGTAGAAGAAAGAATACCTGTTTCTAGATAGCATTGTGCGATAGCTTTCTTCCGTTTGGATTTTTGTGTGTTCAAAGTGATAGTCGCTTGTGCTGCGCCCCGTCCTTGAGCACACACTGGAAGCATATATATTTGGGTAATGCGAGCAAAATAACGAGTTGAAAGTATAGTGCTCTATACTGTCTCCTTCTTTTTTTCTTTGGTAATATCTTTTGCGCCACCATCATTTTATTAAAAGTTAACCACTCAGCCACTGAGAGGTATTACCTTCAACGTTCGAACGGCAAGCTATTCATATCTGCTACTTACCGCTGTTGGGGGGCATCTCGGAAGGAACTATCGTGTTTTCAGCATTATCAGCAAGATGTCACAATGAGCGCGCGGTGGCTTTCATTTCTCACGCGTACTTTGGCCCGCGGAGCGGAGGGGAGTGGATGATTTCTCGGGTGGCCTTATCTCCCGGTGGGGAGAATCATACGTCTTGCCTGGCGTATTATTTTGTAGTTACGGGGCGCACATAGGTCCCTGCAATCAACGTACAGCATTCGTTTGCGGAAGGAACGCGTTTTTTTAGAAACAGCAAGTAACAATTGAGACGATTGTTCGCGTTCATCTGTACCTGTGAGTACGTTTCGTAGGTAATTTGTGAGTGAGAAACGTGGACACGTTTCGATATGCTTGCTATTCTGCGCATGACCTTCCAATTTGTTGCCATTGCGTTCATTGCTTCGCCTTTGCGACAAAGCTGGTACTTTTTTGATGTAACCAAAGAGCCAAATTCAATGTTGGGGGCTGGAAACACGCCTTGCCCCCTTGTTTCGACACCACTACATCTAGTTCAGGGCAGGTAGTCAGGCAAGCAGGCAAAAAACTTTACTTTGACCCGGAGACGACACTCACTTCTCCCTCAGGAGGCGACACTGGTGGGATGCACGTGAACCATAGGACGAGTAGATGGATGGGCTTATAAAATAACCGTTACGTGGTGTCCTTTTTCGTTGCTAGTGAGAAGAGATCGCCAGTACTCCTCCAGAGAGGAAGGAGACTATGTGCTCTCGCGCAGTGCAAGGCATTGTTCCGACGTCACAAGATGACAATTTCGTTCAAATCGAGGTTGCAAGAAAGTAGCCAAAGACTAGCCAAGTAGCCAAGGTTTATTTTTGTTTGTGTCTGTGGCCATCAGCCTAAAGAAGGAGCCAAATTAGCGCAAACAAGTCAAACCTGGCAACCTTGCCATACAGGGGTAGAAATGTAGTTGTGGTGGTGCAGTTGTGCATGAGCGCGCAGCAATCAACAGTGCAGCTACAATCACTCCATAATCGAAACACTCCCTTCTGTCGTTTCGTGCTTTCCTTCGCTACGCTCTGTTGGTGCGCTGGTATCTCCGCCTCTCCAAGTGGTCCTCGTCGCCACCGGACGTGGAGAAAGAGCAGGGACCACACGCACTTGCTACGAGGTTCTTTCTCGCCCACTCGACAGTTTTTGTTGCTTCTTACTTCAACTATCGGACTGCTGAAGGACACAACGACAGCTAAGGATAGCTCAAAGGCACTACGAGAATGAGGTAAACAACAACGCGAGTGGGTATATAATCTAACAAAGAAAATCTGCCCTTGATTTTATCCTTCTTTCATTCATAGCGAGGATCTAGTTCTGGCAGACTTGATGCCTTTAGATAGTATGCGAAGAATTATTAGCCAGCTGCCAGATCGTATGAAGATCAAGTTCTACATGACCCTAGCAGGTACAAATAGTGTTCCACACTTTTCGCAATGACAACCGGTGGGGCTCACAGGTGAGACCGTGCTTAAATACACATATATATACTCTATAGAGTGAACAGGGGGTTGACCGCTGCCGTAGCTCCATGGTAGAAAGTCAGACGCGTTATTCGAAGGTCGCATGTCAGATCCTGCCGGTGCAAAGTTATCTTTTCGTCACTTATCTTTCTTCACATTTACATTACAATCATTTCTAATAGCATGTCCTGTACTTCTCTCGGCATCATTGTCTCTTAGTTCTCAGTGAAACCGAAAAGCAATTTTCACTACCACACACACAATAAGTTCGAGTGCCCTCGCTGCGTACGCGTCAGCCCACTTACTGACAATTTTCTCATCTGTTTCCCTTCTCTTTCTTTTCTCGCCTTTTTACCCCCTTTTCCCATTCCCCCACCGTAAGGTAGCCAAGCGGGCATGTGGCTGGTTCACCTCCCTGCCTTCTCTCTTGTTATTCCGCCTCTTCCTCCGTCTTTGTGCACTTTTTTTCTGCTTGCACTGTACTCGTAAATATTTAATAGCAGTCGGGAAGAGGACTGTTTTGTAACCTTGTGCAACACCAAGGACATTTTACAAATTATGTTTTAACACAGCCAATCCACGCCCAAGTTTAAACAATGTGAAAGTGTCATCTGCGAAGACAAGCGTGGTCTTTATGAGCTATGTGGGTGCACAAAAATGTGAAAATATGCGCTTTTATAAAGGTTGGTGTGTTTATAGCATAAAGCTGTTTTTATCTATATGTGTGTATTGCCATGGACAGGCACTGAGGATTATGTTTGTATACTCACGCTGTCCGCGCAGTTTTTTCTAAGTGGTTAAGCAGCCTTCAATGACAAAGCTTTGTCGCATTCCCAGCACACGTGAACTACGTGTGAATCATACTGCCACACGGCTGTGACGTTGAATGAGTAAGCAGTCGAAGTGGTAGACTTTCGGGTATTTATTAGGCGATCTTGAGCCCCCCAGCGTGAATTCGCCAAATAAGCAGCAGACGTGCTGAGAAACGTCGTATATGTGATTGCTGCGCTAACGAATTGCATGTCGAGAGTATGACCGCACCAACAACTTGTCCCAAAATATACGCACAGTGACAAGCATCTGTGACACCTCCAGAAGAAGTAATTTAGTGAAAGTGCCTGCAGCTTTCACTGAAAAATTCCTTGGCATATGAATGATTCAGAAAGGTTCTAGCGACTGAGATGATGTTCTGATGCGTGTTATGACTGGATTTACAATAAATGCCACTGAACTCTTAATCCTCATGGCGCTTCATGCCTTCTGAATAGACTCTAGGCGAGGTTTTGGCGACTGCTGCTAGCGACAAGAAGACGTTTTTCTTGAAGCCCAGATTTATATGAGAAAGGAGCAGTATTAAAGCCCTTTTATCCTCTGCAATGTGGCGGATCCTCCGACTCAACCACCGAAAGAGTGCCATTGTTCTTTTCAAGGTTGGTTGGCACCTCCACTTCTTTGGTATGCTTGTTCACCCGCCTGCTCGTCCAAGTGTTGGCCAAGTCCCAGGCAAACACCAAGGGCTGTTCGAGAAACACGTAGACCAGGTAGCCCGCGACTGTAGCCATCATGAAATTGGAAATAGCTGACGACATCTGCAAAGTGTTAAATGGCGATCATTTATCGAGACGTAGTGAAAGGGGAAAAACGTTAACACAAAAAGATATTATAATAACACATTTAAAAGCCCGTAATTTTCATAAACAAGTGGGTACATGGCCCATTATCTACTCATTCATCACGCAATCTTTTAGAATATGAGCAATGTAGCACTTGAAAATCTTGGAAACTCCCGTGGAGTTCTTAGAGTTTTCGCTTAGCTCACACGTCTGCGCCATTGGTCGGACAGTACTGGATACTGCTCCTTTTCTAACTCGATTGCTAATATAAAAAGAACAACAATATATTTCATTTTGGGAACATAACAGTGTAAGGGATAGTGTCCACAGTTAACATCTTGCAGTTTAATGATTCCCCAAGAAGTGATGACGTGTCCACAACGATCCCATAGGTGTAGAGGGCCAGCCGCTCGAACAAATAAATTCAAGCTGCGCTTCTACAGCGTTGCTCACACCGACAGATTTAACATAGCTAAGGTTATTGTGGTCAACAAAAATGTGGAGCCTTGGCTAATCGACTGTGCGACACTTTATTGTTCAAGCGTGAATCTATTCTGTCATATCAGCATCATTTTCGGGATGAAAGATTTCCAAACAAAACTGTAATGGTACTCAGTGCTCCCATAAGTTTACAGAGAATACCGAACTTCGCATGACTGTTGCCTAAGCGCTCCAAAAGCATGACGATAGTTATAGCGCGAGAACAAAACGACGACACAGAGACAAGAAGAACACGAAAGACACGAGCGCTAGCTTCCAACCGTATTTATTGCGAAGAGCACGAAAATATATAGAGGAGACAGTGACCATGTGATAAATACCATATGGCACAAGAGCAGAACATGAGTAAGAAAACCAAAAATAAACAACACAAATACAAAGGCACTGAAAAACAGCAAAGAAAAAACCTAGAAGAAACCGAAACAGAAAGGTAAAGCTACCTGCCCGCACCGAATCTTTCGAGGAACCTGCGTTCCTTCTCGGACAAAGCCACGGAGGGCTTGCTAACACAAGGCACCTGTTCGCGTGCCATCTGCGCAGCCTCGACAATGACCCGGGTGCTTACATCTCTGTCTTTGTACAACGTCGCTGTTTCCTCGAAGAGGGGAACACACTTGCACTCAGTGCAGTGCTGGGCAAGAAAACCATCTTTCCCGTTTTTAACATTGTTTGCGTGCTCTCTCAGCCGATCGTTCAGACACAGGGTTACCAGATTGGGCTATTAATAGCCAAATTGGGCTACTTTTTGTTCGAGTTGGCGTCGAATTTTTCTGTTTGGCTATGTGGCTATTTTTGGGCTACATTGCTCTCGACTAGGCAAAAATTCCAAAAAGCTACAAACTGTAGATAATTTTAGTATCGGGGACCCCAAACAGCTTACGCACGCACGCTCTTGCGTTCGTTTGTACCTCCAGCCGCCGGGAACCCCCAGCAGCTGCAACCACGGAGAATACAAAGGAAAGCAGGAGCATGCGTACGCGAGCGTCTGGGGGTCCCCGGCACTAAAACTCTCTAGGAACTCTAATGCACCTTGTCAACGACGGCCCCCTGGCCGCCGCCATAAGCCCCTTTTGGCTGTTAACATGCGTGACCCCCCAAAAATGCAGTACCGTGGCGCGACGTCAGCTTTTGTACTCCCGTGCAAAAGCTAAGAAAGGTGGTGATGGTTGTCTCTGTTAAAAAGCTCTATACAAAGAACGCCAAGGCTTACATGCGTATCCCGCCATCAAAACATTCCAATGTGTTGAACGATCCCTGCACCTGGAGTACGTAGCCCAAGAAAGGGCTTCACGTGTCTTCAGTTTGAAACCGTGTTGATGGCTACGTTTTCTCTAGACTTTCTTGACTTCTACTACCGTAAAATGCCGAGCAAGCACCCCCTCCCCTTCCCCGCACCACACAGTGAAAGATATTAAGAAAGATGTGGAGGGGGCCCTCTTGCTCAGTCCGAGACCAAAATCCAAGATAGCAGAGGAAGTGCCTCTAAGTAGAATGCACACCTGTGCTTCTTATGAAATGCTTTGTTGAATACGCGAGCATTTACAGTTTTTACTGAATCCGAGGGTGTCCGTCTGACATTGCACGTGTTATGACAGGAGTGGAAAGACGTTCTTCAATTACCCCAACAATTTGCGACAACCCGGAATGTGACCCTCAGACATCACACTGTACAAGTACTAAGAAATCGTGCACAAGACTCGCAGGAACCGCTGCTGCAGGATTATGAGGCGCAGAACAGATTTAAAAAAAAAAACGTCGAGGGGGGGGGGGGTGGCGCTTGGTCAGTCATTGGCGCATATTTTCAAGTCTCCCGAAAAGGGGAAGGGGGTACATGATTGTGAAAGCTATGACACGTGGGGAGCACCCATCCGAAGGTTGTAGGTTCAGTGAGCCTGCCGGTAGCAGTTTGTCATTTCGTCCACTTAAATTTCATTGCGCTTCGGGACTGAGGCTCTGAGGGGGCGAACGGACCCCCCCCCCCCCCCGCTTCTTTGGATACACCACTGAATGCGGGGCTTGTTGACTACAGCTCTTCGTGTCATTACACGTCTGATCACTCTTCGATCATTGTATTTGGAGGTATAAATTCGCGCTTCTTGCCGAGTGCTAGCAGTGCGTCTCGGGTCTGAGGCTCTGAGCTTGAAGAGACGAGCTCCAGGATGGGCAAGTGGGCCAAGTACGCGCGCAACTACAAAAAGGAATGGGAGAAGGAGCCGGACTTCAAAGGTAATATATTTTCTATCCTCGGCACAAATTGTGTCAGAATGCTTTTGTATGTAATTTAATGCCCTGTTTAGAAAAAAAAATGTTCCATTCATACGCAAAATTAAAATTTGAGGCATATGCATATGTGCAGTGAGTACAGTACTATTTTTTGTTTGTTTCTGAACGTGCAGACTGGCTATCGCCATCCAATTCAGGCGATATGGCCTATTGCCGAGCATGCAAGGTGGAATTGCGGCCCCACGTTCAAGACCTAAAGCTGCACTCCACTAGGGTCAAGCATGCAAACAACATGAAGCGTTCCGCTGGTCCAGCAGCGGGGCCTTTGGCATCGTTTGTGGACAGAAGACCCAGAGAGCCATGTTCCAGTTCTGACGACCTCAAGGTAGCAGAGCTGCGCTTGGCTGCTCATTTGGCTGTTCACGGAAGCTTCCTGACGGCGGACCACTTGACGCCCGTGATCAGTGGGTGCTTCAGCGATTCGGTGTTGGCGTCGGCCGTCACCTTGGGGAGAACGAAGTGCGCTGCGCTAGTGATAAAGGTACTGGGGCCAACATTTAGAGAAGAGCTCTTGAAGGACATGACTGCTGCACAATATTCATTGATTGTGGATGAGAGCACGGACGTCTCGTGCACGAAGGAGCTAGCCGTCGTGGCGCGCTTTTTTTCTCGCAGCAAAAGGGATTTTTTTACAGCCTTTCTCGGCTTGGTGCCAGTGACCGATGCATCCGCGGAAGGGCTATTTTCTGAGTTGAAGGCGCTGTTAGATGCTTGAAAACTGAACATCAAATGTTGTGTGGGTATCGGGACAGATGGAGCGAGCGTCATGTGTGGGCAGCACAACAGCCTTTACACAAAAATGAAGGCAGAAAATGCGCGGCTTGTTCTTGTGAAGTGTGTGTGCCATTCTTTACAGCTTGCCTGTAGTGAGGCAATAGATGTACTTCTCACGCACATTGACTACCTAGTACGCGAAACCTTCAACTGGTTCGCCCATTCACCGAAAAGGCAGCAAGAATATAGAGTAACATACACCGCCATTACTTCGGGCGATGTCCCGAATAAGCTCATAGGCGTTTGTGCCACGAGATGGCTTAGCATTGCGCCTGCCTTGAGATCAGTCTTGAATCAGTGGGCTGCCCTGCGATCTCACTTTGATGCGATGAAAAGTAAGGAACGCTGCTACGCAGCAAGATTACTCAGCGAAATGTACGCTGATGAGCAAAATTTACCTTTTCTCCGTTTTCTAAGCCCAATAATCGATGAATTCGAGCGAATGAATAAGCTCTTTCAGTGCGAGGCCCCGGACCCTGTGAGACTCAATGAAGAATTGATTTCTTTTGTTAAAGCTTTAATGACAAGAGTTGTTATGCCTGGCTATGCAGAACCTGACAATGCGGAGTGGGAGCAGCACATATTGCATGTGAGGGCATGCAGCTTGGGCGTTATTTTTCTCGACAGTTTTGAGAAGTCTTCACTCAGCGAAGGTGAAAAAGTTTGTTTATTGGAAAGGTGCCGCAAGTTTGTGATAGCATCTATACGGAGTGTGCTCAAGCGGCTTCCCGCGAACATGAAGCTTCTCAGTGACCTCAAGCTTCTCGAGCCAAAGAGCATTAAGAAATACTCTTTCGATTTCGTGCATCGTTCATTCAATGCTTTTGTAGAGCCAATTTGTATTTCAACAATGGAATCTGAGTATCACCTACTCCAAACCAGAGTCGACGATCTGGCAGAGGGTACCCACTCCATAACCGAATTCTGGGTAACCGTACACAATGCAAAAAATGTTGCCGGGAACTCGATGTTTCCACTGATGTCAAAGCTGGCGCTCTCTTTGCTGTCACTACCAGTGTCAAACGCTGCTGTTGAACGAGTGTTCAGCCAGGTCTCGCTTACTAAAACTGACATTCGAAACAGGATGTCTAACGAGACCTTAGAAGCGCTGCTCCATGTAAAATTTGGTCTGGGGAGGAACGCTGGCTGCTGCAAAGATTTCAAACCGGGAAGAGAATTTTTGTCGCGTTTTAACTCCACCGTTTTGTATGGGCCGAGCAGTGCCTCGGCATCCAAATCAAGTGTTTAAGTTATCATGTTTAAGTTATTTCGCTTCTCCACTTTCATCTCTTTTGTTGTATTTTCTATTTCATGAGTTTTTGTATATCTCTACTTTTTGTAAACCCTACCTATTTCTACTTTTTGTAAATATGCTTCTATATTTCTTTGTGATTCCATTCATTTGTTTGTTATTAAGT